CACTAAGTAGCAACCATAAATTTAGTTGGGTTTAAATATTACTCATCCAACTAATTTATCATAATCTTAACAATATGGAGTCTTTTTAGTTTATCATATTTTTTGGTTTGAGTTTCAATAGGAATACGATGAAATACGATGAAATTCATGTTAGGTATTTGAGCCAATAACTAATATTTTTCAAGGCCATAAGGAGCATAGTATTGTTGCATGATCTCTTAGTACACGCCAATATATTACTCTACTGTGTCTGATCTACTAAAGTAAATACATAACTCATATATTATAGTTTTAATAAGGCATTAGCGGCATATTTTTTCTTTTATTTATTATTTTCAAGAGCTTTTTTTTTTAATTTTATTTTAAAATTCAACCACATAGTTTAACAATATTTGTGTGATTTTTTAATTTTTGTACTTATTGATATGAAGTATATTAAATGCATCAAATTTAAATTTTAAATTCACTTCTATGAGTGTCGCGGCGAGTCCTAATTCTTTCTTTACAGTTGGTTGAGAAATCACTTTTATTAGTACTACTCTTTAATAAGCAATACTTTTACTTTCTACTGTCATTTAAAACTCAGTTTTTTTCTTCTTAATTTTTTTTTCATATGCACTATCTCGGCATGGCATGGACAGGGAATTTACAACATTCTGTAAAAGTGAGACAGTCCTCATGTTATAAAACACTAATTGAATTGAAATTTTGTCACGATCCAGAATTTCCAGGGGATCATGATTGAGCCTAACATTTCAGTTGTTAGGTAAGTCAATATTAGCAATATCTATTAACCAATTTTCAACAATTCAAACCAAATGATATCAATAAAACTGAATAGCCTGAAATAGAGTGACAAACTAATAAGCGATGAAATCCAAATACAAATTCTGGAACTGGTGTCACGAATACATGAGCGTCTAGAGTGCTACAGATAATAGTCTGAATAAAAACATAGTTGTCTGAATCAAAATAAACAGATAAGGTGATATAGAGGGGCACTTCAGGGTTGCGGACGTCGTGCAGTTGTACCTCAAGTCTCCACTGATAGTTGGGTCCGAGCAAATCTTACCTAATTCTATTAGAACCAACTCCAATATCTGTACAAGAAGTGTAGAGTATAGTATAGGTACAATCGACCTCATGTACTCTGTAAGTGCCAAAAATAACCTCGACAAAGTAGTGATAAGGCTAAGGCGGGTCACTTAAAATAACTGTACGCAATAATAATAACAATAATAACAAAAAAGACATGAATGGAAATAAAGCATTTAACTCATAATAACAAACTCAAAATCCAACTATCAGAGAGCCCAGAATAACAAGTCTGATAAACTCATCTCAAATGCCGAGGCAAATCCAACAGTCACAAACAAATACAACTTTTACAATTTATTGCGGTGTATAACCCGATCCCACCATATCATCATCAGTCAATATTATAATTCGTCCTTCCTCCGCCATTTAAATTTATTTCCTTTTAATTTCTGTTGAGACATGCAACCCGCTCCCAAACAATTTCAATCAACAATAGCAATTCAACAACCAAAATTTACGATAATCTCTACAACGAGACAGTAAATGTATGAGGCAATAAAGAACTCGTACGTCTCCACTTTATCAACTCATTGATATCTACCAATTCACAACTCATACAAGTGCAACTACGTTGTAGAAGGTAACAAAATTTCACAAAACTATAAGACCAGTAAGACATATGATAATTTAAATATGCAAGTAAAGCAAATAGAGAAGAAGCAAATAAGTATGAAATTATGGAAGGGATGGACAGTTTAATACCAAGATAACAAAATGACAAGTAATAATTATGGCATGGAAATTAAATAAGCATGTATCAGTTAAGGCATGTAACCAGATATACTATGAAGTAACGAAAACATGGATGCAAGTGACATAACGGCGCATATACACTCGTCACCTTGCATATAAGACGTTTCCCACATAATTCACATAACATATAGTTTAAGGGTTCCTAATTCCCTCAAATCAAGGTTAGACCCAATACTTACCTCACACCGCAACTCAAGCAATCAATCAACCACGGCCTTGCCTTTTGAACAAGCCTCCAATCTAATCAAATCTAGCAAATTATTGACCATAGAAACTACTCACAAATAAAAAAGGTTCAATTTAGGTCATTTTTTAAAAAGTCAATAAAAGTCAACCCCGGGCCCGCTTGGTCAAATCGAGATTCACACCAAAATTCGATTATCCATTTACTCTTGAGCTCGGTTATGTGATTTGTTTCGAAATCCGACCCCAATTCAAGTTCTAAATCTCAATTTTACAAAAATCCATAAATCTAACCAAATCTTTTATTTCTACCATGAAAATCTAAATTTGATGTTGAAATCTCATGAAATGTAATGGGTAATTGAAAAGAAATGGATTAAAGTCACTTACCGATGAATTTGGGAAGAAAAGTCTTTTGAAAAATCGCCTATAGAGTATTTAGGGTTGAGAAATGATGTAAAATGAGCTACGTCCTGTTTTCCCCTCTTTTATCCAGCTGCAAATATCGCAATTGCAAAGTCTTATTCGCAGTTGTGAACATCACAAATGCGAGACACGGGTCGTAAATGCGAACCCTATCATAGAAGAGCAGAAGTTGCAAATGCGACATTTAGATCGCAAATACGAACTTACCACCATCGCAAATGCGACTAGAAACTCTCAAATGCGAGGCAAACTATAGTGGTCAGTGATCAAAATTGCGACCACTTCCTTCGCAAAAGCGAAAGTCCACAGTTCGCAAATGCGAACAAATTCTCGCAAAAGCGAGTTTCACCCAGCCCAACCCATGCTCGCAAATGCGAATAATTCTTTGCAAAAGCGAGGCTCGTAATCACGAGCCAAGCCTCGCAATTGCGAGATCTGCAACAGAGCATCAAAATCGGTATTGCACCAGCAGACTTTTCATTAGCAAAACTCATCTGAAACATGTCCGAAAGTCACTCGTACCCTCGGCCTCCAAACCAAATATGCACACAAGTGTAATAACATCATACGAACTTGCTCGCACAATCAAATCATCAAAATAACATCTGAATCTACAAATCAATCCTCAAAATGAATGAAATTTTAAAGTGGAACTCAAGGACACTAGAATCACATTTAAGCATCCGAGTCATGTCAAATCAATTCCGAATTGAACCAAAATTTGCAGACAAGTTTCAAATAGCAATACAGAACTATTCCAAGTTTCAACATCAAAATCCGAACCAGTTAGCTATAAAGTCAACTTACGGTCAAACTTAATAAATTCTCAAACTTTCAAAATGCTAGTTTCGGAAAAATGAGTCAAAACAAGTTAGGGACTTCCAAATTCAATTCCGAGCATACGCCCAAGTTTCAAATCATTACACGGACCCACCAGGTTTGTCAAAATACCGATCTGGGTCGGTATACATAAAATGTTGACCGTAAAGGTAAAAATTTATATTTTCTTCAATTTTTCTTCACATAAAGACTTTTCGAAATAAGATACAGATTGCACACGCAAATCGAAAAATACTAAACGGAGCTAATTGAGGTCTCAGAACACAAAAATAAATACTAAATCTCAAAATGACCTATGGGTCATCACAATTTTGTCCCTTTAGAAGTTCTAGGAATTTTTTTGTTTTCTACACTCAAAAACTTCACTTCTAATGTTAAGGAACTTCTGTCTTGTTCGTTTGTTAAAATACCACAAAAAATGATTAAATATCTCTCCCTTTAATTAATTTGTATAATGAAACAGGAGGTCGTTTTAGAGAAATCATTCTGTCTGCCACTATAAAGGGAGTTAACATCTTCGTTAGATATCACTCTAAGGGGTCGTTTGGTAGGAAGTATTAGAAAAAATAATGCAAGCATTAGCTTTATATATTACTAATATCTTGCTTGGTATATTTTTTAACATTTGTATAATTAATACTTGTATTAGTTATACATCATACTTGGTATTATCCTATGCATTAGTAATGCATAGAAAACTATGGCATTAGTAATACCAAGGCTATTAATGCATGCATTAGTATGTTTAAAGACAAAATTGTCCTTAAAGTCCTTTAAAGCTAGAGAATATGAAGGGCATTTTTGTAAACAACTATTTTTCTTAAAAATTATGCAATGCATTATAATTTTAATACACCACACCAAACAGTAGATAAGAAATAATATATGCACAACTAACTACAAAAAAATGTTGTATTTGCGGAGGTTTTATCTACATATTGCGGGGGTCATAAACCTCCGCAATACACTTTTACGGCGGTTTCCAAAACCCCCGCAATAATGTTCGC